GTCAAAATTTTGTTTAAACTAGCACTTTCTTGGAGGGATTCGCCAATAGTTGTGTTCCTTTCTAAATATTAATTTAAGCCCATGAAATTTTTAATGTCTTTGGAACTTTCATGTAACTTTGCACTTCGGATGAAATTCTTTAAATCGTTATATCCCGGAGACATCGTCCATGTGTTTTTTTCATTGCCTAAGAGTAGATACGGCCAACAATATACATTTTCAGCATAAATATTACGGCTACGGCAGAGCCGTTTATATGTTTCGTACCAGGTTGATTTAAAAGACCTGGAGTACTGACGATTTTGTCGCTTATCAATGGAAGTTAAATTAATTAACGGTTTTGACTGCTCGATATTTAGCAAAATTTACCGACGTTCTAACTCGGTTCGCCGTGAAAACGGCGTTTCAAGAAGCAACATGATAATATCGTACTCCGGATTCATTTTTCACTCACCTGTACCCTGTACCTATGAAAGAGACAAAAACACGAAACACCAACACGTGGGCTTTTATTCACATTTATGCTAATTACCCACGCACCCTGCACCCCTACCATTCTGTAAAATAAATAGGAAAATGGTTGAATTAGTACGCCGAAATTGGCCGAGAAGCATCGAAGATATCGCCTCAGTTCCGAGCGAATTCATGTATTGGAGTATAGCAGCTGAGTCATGGAAATCCGTGTCTGTGATTGGGCTTCGTTGGTTTAAGTGAACCGACGCTCTGGCCGCTTCAGTTAAAGAATTCGGGGCATAAATCGTACAGTATTCAACGAAAAATGTCCGCAGAACGTGTAAAAAATTAAAAATCATGTACAGATCTCCCATTTCAACATATTTTTGTAACTTAAAATGCATTGAAAGCTCTTTTTTAATTATAAATTAAGTCAATCTGTTCTTTAGATATCTGCTGTGAGGCGCCGCCTCACTTGCCTCATATGACGAGCCGCCACTGGATAAATCTATCTTATGTGTAGAATATTATGAGTCTAGACCTGTAGTTTATCAATGCATTAAGATTTTTTTAAATTGCTTACACAGAATGAATTTTTTTGATAAATCAAAGCAAGGTATGGCGCCTTCTCTTAGCAAACTGCTAAAAATTAAGATCATCATAAAATGTTATTATGAAAAACTCACCTGAAAGTTACTTAGAAGTCCACATCTCTCTTTATTTTAACTTATAGGGGTTATAAAAAATAAAATTCTCAAAATTTGTCTAATAAACTGGATTTGTTTGATTGTAATTCTGTGACGAGAAAAATTCTTAATTTTTTGTTTTTAATTAGCATTACGTAGAACAACTTGATTGTTGTACATACCATATTACCATAAACCGTACTCTTTCGAATAATTGTTCAAAATCAAAACTTTGAAATATTAGAATTCATAAAAAAATTCAAATAGACTATCACAGAAAATTAGGGCAATAACTTAGTAAAGATGATAAAACATTATTCATGTAACTAATTATATATGTATACTAGAAGTTAAATAACCAGCAAAATTTTAAAATTCGGAACGAACAGAAAAAACAAATAGGGTTAGCTTTATAACAGTAATTTTTCCATAGCGAGATAGTTGGCGATTTACTTGTTGAAAAATGAACACATGTTGACGAATCCCCAATGCTTTTCCTTGAATCATATTCTACAAAGTTCTCCGAAAAGGGTGAGAAACTATGTCACATTGATGTTACTTTATCTCCTGGTTTTCCCTATTTATCTTATATTATTCTGTGTAACTGCGCTAGAACTCTAAACATGTCTTTGTCACACATTTTGCAGATCTCTTTTACAGTTTGGTCTCTTCTTCTTATTTTATAATCGCTATTAACTTCAGATTTAATCACAAAGTGATCAAAATCTGCCGCTTTCGCCACCATCTATAGATCCTGCTGCGGACGAAATAGAGCTATAGGTGTGCCACAAAAACATAAGAAAAGTGTGAATATGAGTTGCTACGAGATAATCACCATAGAGGCGTTATTGTTAACTCATCTGGCCAACAAGTCAAGCAATTCCGTTTGTATCTCTAACAAAATAATGCGTGAGACAATGATTGCAAATATTTATGTATTCACTGTTGGAGGTGACAGCATTACCCCTCTAAGAAACTGGTAATGAACTCGCCTGAGTAAGAACTGGATCGAAATCCAGAGGCTGTGTCGCATATGCATATAAAGGCTAATACAGAATGCGTCTCAGGGAGAGCTTTAAACTTGAGATCCTAGAACTATAAGACACTCACAAAACAAACTTTTGGATTATTTTGGTAGCCAATCACAAGAAAGTTGTTTAGTTCATTTTACCCCAACAATTTAAAACCTGCTTCGGTCTAATTTTTATTTTAACCTATTAGTTTAAACAATTCTGATACTATTGTTTACTGGTGATATTGCATTTACTATTAAAAACAAGAAAACGATCAATAAATAGAAAGCACTAGGATACACCTACTAATCGTCGACAAATTACCCACAGAGATATACATATACCGTCATTACATTACAGAACTTAAATTTTGTACAGAGCTTCGTGTATTCCTTCTTAGTTTACATGTCGTAAAAGTAAAACGTAGTCAAAATATTCATGTCTCAAGCTCTTATCAAAATTAAATATCTGGTTGACCGAGCTTCACTCGGCTCGTTTGGTAGTATTAGATCAGATTAGGACAGATAAATATGCGTATAGTATGCATTTTGAAGTACACGCGCTAGTTAAAAATACACATTAAAAAAGAAATTCCATAAGCAGTCTTTGTTTTAAATAGTGATGAGTGACATGTAGAGATTAAAGAATGGAAAACTGGAATTATTGCTTGACATTTTTATTAAAATCTCATTTGTTACCCAAGTTCTCTCTCTGTCGTTCTCTTTTTTTCCTAGTTCTCTCTCTCGACTCTAGAAAAAGGTCACAACCACTTTCTTACTGCCAGAATGGTTTCGCCTCTGGTGTGATTAACATACTGAGTTACCGTGCTCTTTTGCGTTATTCCTAATTTCTCAATCTCAACCCTGCTCCCGAAGATGCCACTTACAAAAGTGTGCGAAAAGTTGAGCCCAAAAACTGAAATAATACGGTCCCATCCCGGAAAACAATCACATATTGACCCTGACCGTCGAACCTCTGAAATGAATGCTTGACAACATAACCTTAACTCAACGCACTTTCGTGTGCCTTTTATCCGCTCACTGTTTAGTTTTCCGTAAATTTTGTTACCTCAGAGGGTGAATTTTAACGTCCTCTATACAGTGGAGTATGTTTCGGTACGTACAATTGAAGATAAAAAGGTACGTCAAACGTACTGTCAGACTGTCACCCAAACTTCTCTTATAAAACAATCTCGTGTTCGTGTAGTGTCATCCGATGTTACCTAGCAACGAATATAATTCACTGCCTGAAAATTGCTGAAAATGTATGAAGCTGTAATTTTCAGAAGTTAAAACTATGATGAATCGATTTCTTGACCCAAAAAACCCCCAACCTGTAAATTTCATCGAAATCGTTAGAGCCGTTTTCGAGAAACCCATTATATATATAGATATCTAATACTATTAAACGAGCAAAGTTTGTATATATATATTTATATATATATATATATATATATATAATGGGTTTCTCGAAAACGGCTCTAACGATTTCGATGAAATTTACAGGTTAGGGGTTTTTTGGGTCAAAAAATCGATTGATCATAGTTTTAACTTCTGAAAATTACAGCTTCATGCATTTTCAGCAATTTTCAGGCAGTGAATTATATTTGTTGCTAGGCAACTTCAGATGACACTACACGAACACGAGATTGTTTTATAAGAGAAGTTTGGGTGACAGTCTGACAGTACGTTTGACGTACCTTTTTATCTTCAATTGTACGTACCGAAACATACTCCACTGTATACAGGACGTTAAAATTCACCTTCTGAGGTGAGAAAATTTACCGAAAACTAAAGAGTGAGCGGATAAAAGGCACGCGAAAGTGCGTTGAATTGAGATTATTTTGTCAAGCATTCATTTCAGAGGTTTCGCGGTCGGAGTCAATGTGTGATCGTTTTCCGGGATGGGACCGTGTTATTTGAGTTTTTGGGCTCAACGTTTCGCACACTTTCGTAAGTGGCATCTTCGGGAGCAGGGTTGAGATTGAGAAATTAGGAATAACGCAAAAGAGCACGGTAACTCAGTATGATAACCACACCAGAGGCGAAACTCTTCTGGCAGTAAGAATGTAGTTGTGACCTTTTTCTAGAGTCGAGAGAGAGAACTAGGAAAAAAAAAGAACGACAGAGAGAAAACTTGGGTAACAAATGAGATTGTAATAAATGTCAAACAATAATTCCAGTTTTCTGTTCTTTAATCTCTACATGTCACTTATCACTGTTTAAAACAAAGACTGCTTATGGAATTTCTTTTTTAATGTGTATTTTTAATTAGCGCGTCTACTTCAAAATGCATACTATACGCATATTTATCTGTCCTAATCTGATCTAATACTACCAAACGAGCCGAGTGAAGCTCGGTCAACCAGATATTATATATATATATATATATACAAACTTTGCTCGTTTAATAGTATAAGATATACCTTCTTATATGAGCGCGTTAAGCACTGGACATCATTTGAACCCCAGTAGCAAGCAATATTTTTCTAATATTTATACAAGATTGATATAATATTAAATGTTGACTAGATATTACAAATATTTATATAATATTCATTTTATATTTATAAATTTATATATGAATTTCAACATATATTACATATTTATGAAATGTCTTTTTATCAAGATACCGAACAACAAAAATGAAAAAAAAAAGTACCATGTTGGGACAACTTGTAGGTAATTTATGTCATACGGTTTTTATTGGAGCAACATTAAAAATTGATTTGAAAAAATACCAGCTATTGTGAAATTGACACTATTCGAAATATCGTGTTGCACACTATTAATTGCTCATTAAAAATTAATATTTTTTTATTTTTGCGAACAAAAAATAATAATTTTATTCATCATTTTTATAAAACTTACTTAAATTTGCGCTTGCTCTGCTGGAACGCGTTTGCGCAATGTGCAACATATACATATTTTCTGTTATTGTTGGTGGTTCAAAAAGTATTTTGTGTAAGTTCATGGTGTTTGTCCTATTGTGAATTGTGATTATCGGTACTGCGATAAATTCAGAATAGTGCAATAAATACCGTTTTGTCAAGAAAAACAGTACTAACCCTACATAACCTCACTTCTGCAAGCAATGCAGAAAATGCAGTTTCTCAACACGTAAGTATATTTAAGAGGTTTAATATTTCTGAATATAAGCACATTATGAATGTAGAGATAAAATGATGAATGTCCGGGCGCAACCAAAAAAAAGAAGAAATCCAGTTAGAAATTGCGGGAGATACGCAGAAATTGAATGAATTGGTAAGCATTTATTATTCTTATTATTAACTCCTAGTATTTATAAACTAGTTAGTTTCAGACTGATAATAATGTTTATTTGCCAGGAAGAGAAGATGTAAAAAACATGTACCTATGCAATTTTGAAGAAATTATTAATAATGAACCAAATTGCTTTCAAGTTTTCAGGGCAAGGAAAAAATAAGCTCTCTTTTAGTGAACTCACAATTAACAAGGCTACAATATGTAAAGTTATGTGATTTCTTAAAAATTACGAAATTTGTAAGTTAATTTAATTGTAGGTACCACACGGAAACGTGACAAAAACGCCACAACTGCTGAAATTTAAAAAATGGTAGGACCTCATTAAGCGCAGACAAAAGCAAGAATGAATTCTCATCGAAAAAAACATGAGGTATGATTTTTTTTATTTTAATTAATTATATCGCTTTTCAATGAATTGGTTATAGAGCAAATAATTATTAAATAAATATTTCTGTATAACGATTGAAATGTAGCAGAACATTGTTATTTCCATTGACAGTGTATTTTTATTTCATTGTAAGTTGGCAGTGTATTTTTATGTTTAAAAAATTTATATTGTGTTTCACATCAGGTGATTTTTTAAATTTATGCTCTGGTTGCCCATGAAGCTTATGCCAGCAGTTTCAGTTTCACTGCTGACATAAGTGTCATGGGTAACTACAGCAAAAATTAAAAAACAATCACCCGGTACAAATTTTCAACGAATTGGTTCTAGGACAAATAATTTTTAAATGTATAAATATTGCCGCAACGTTTCAAATACACTGTTATTTCCAGTGACAATATATTTTTGTGTTTAATAAATTTTATATTGTATTCCATACAAGTTTTTTTTATATCCATACCCCCTTTCATATGAAGAACATTTATTAAATGTTCTGAACTAAATAAGTATTAAACATTGAAAATAAATATATATTCAATATTTAAAACCAATATTGATTTTTAAAAAAAAAATCTGTCGTTACCCATATTATTTAAATGTTAGAACTTCAATATTGATTACATATAAAATGTTACTGGGGAATAGTGGTTTCATTTATTGTAGAATAGCAATTGATACATCTCGTAAATTGATGCTTATAATTATTTATTTCTACTCATAACAATTTTCAAATTATGTAACTAAATTTAGGTAAATTCGAGCTCGCATCCCATCTACTGGTAAAGCAGGACATAAAATTATTTAAAAGGTTTTTTTTCTATGCATTCCAGCTTATTTTTCATCATTTGAAGTTAACGTATCTATTATTTGTTAGTTTTATTGAACTATAGGAATGTCGCAAACGCCCCTAAAGGTACATAATCGAGGGATGTCGTTAAATACTAGAAAAATATTGAAAAAATTCCTTACCTGTGGCGCAGATATGTGAGCTAAAAGTTGAGCGCTTTTGCTGTGTTAAATAACAAAATGATGATTCAATTATCACGATAACTTACAATGAAACGTTTAGTTCATATTTTTGTTCCTCACAGTAATGTTTAATTACTATTTCCCTCATAATAGACAAATTTATAAATGGGTTTTTTAGTATGATAAAATTCCATTCCTATTTTTGTTTTTGTCCAATGTAATTAAAGTTATAATAAGAGTTGTGCTTATCTTCTTAAGAAATAAAAAGTTTTCATGCAGTAGCAATGTACATCGAAAAGTTTGATTATTTTCTTCGTACTTGTCGAATCTCTTGATAATGTACCTACACTTAAGAGTGTTCGCGACATTTCGAACAGTCTGTATGTACGTCCAATAGTCTATTTCTTAAAGAGTTCAATCTATAGCTTATTTCCAGTTTAGTTAACAATTCATAGACACAAAAGGTACCTAATTCTTACAAGTTTTTTTTATATTTCAAATATGAAACAGTATAATATGATTCTCAATAGTAACAGCTGGCTTTTAGATATTTTAGCCACGATGTTTTCTTATAATTATGACAGATAAATCTCGGTTACTAGAAAAAAATTCAGGCACTGAGGAACAAATTAAATGTAATATTCGAATTGCCCTGAATACGAGTCACAGATTACGTCGATGACTTGAAGAAGAAGCTGTTGAGCGTTCTTGAAGAATCGTACGCCGCCTCCACTTCCAGCGCGCAAATCAGGTCATCAGATGATGTTTGATACCTCAATACTTGTAGTATCTTCTTAACTTCACCGTTGCAAAGGTTTCTGTCGCAAGCCTATCTTGAAAAGATGGTGGTGCGTCGGAGTATGCAAGACGTACTGCTGCAAATTCTTGAAGAGATTCTCCAGCTTTTTGAGTTCTTGTTTTTACTTGGGTTGCAAAAACTTGTTTCAAATGTTCATCCCCAAACCAAAGTTCTAGAGCAGCAGTTAGGGCACTGTATCTGTTTCTATCTTCTTCAGACAGAGTTTGGTTGTTCTGTGGTTTGGAGTACCTACAGCGCTGCACCTCGCAACGCTATTACCAAGGCTGTAGCTTTCTGTTCTTCTTCCCAAAGATTCGCTGTCGCTGCTGCCTCAAACTGCTTCTTGTATGATGACCACGGCGTCTTACCATCGTAGGTGGGTGGTTGAATTGTCCTGTGGGCCGACACCACATAACCTGAACCAGCGGTTGCTGCATTTTTTATTATTTTTTCAAATTTCTTCATTTTACTCTCCATTCGGTCTTCTACACATTCCACGGATTTTTCTAACTCACTTTTTCACTGATGCTCCATTCAGACCATGTTTCGTCCTACAATATTTTCCATATTTTCCAGATTTGTTTTTACGTCCTTCATTTCTTCTCTGATTTCTTCTATTTCATTCTTATTTGCTTCCACTTCCTTTTGGAATTTTTCACTTAGGCTGATGATTATCTTATTTTTTGCTTGTCTATTTTTTCGTCCATATTTTCCATTTTTTCGTTCATCTCTTCTATTATTGCATTCATTTTTTGATTTATTTCTTGTGTCCATCTTTTCGTCTATTTCTTTGTTTCGTGCGTCCATTTTTTCCATTCCTGTGCCCATTTCTTTTTTCATTTCTGCGAGCATAGGCATCACCTGCTTTACTTGTTCCTCCATTTTCTCGGTTTGAGCTTTAGTCTCAACAGGCATCAATCTTCAGAATTCTTGTCCAATCTGCCCGTAATTCGTCGTAAATCCCCTTATTAATTTCAAATCTCACCAGTGTTGTGTTACGTTGGACGGATGATTAAAATCGGGGTGGGTAAAACTCAACAATTTATTTCTTAATAACTCAAATTACACGACTAACTATTACAGCGATTATATGCAGAATAACTCCGTGGTGCAACTTGAACGTATTCGTTCATTCGACTCGACTTGCTGACTGGACTCGCTGAATTAGCTGAATAATTATCGTTCCCGACGGTACCCTTATCTAAACCTATACGTGCCTCTCGATGGATCCAGAACGTCGCTACGAGGGTTTTCTGGGCCCGTCGCGACATCCGCTTCCAGACTTTCCTTTAACTAACGCCGCACACCGCCCGGCTTATGAGTCATACTACATACTAGAAGACCCATACCGGGGCGGCGTATGGATTTATTTCGTAACAATATTTTTGCAATTTTAATTTTAACCTCTTGTTAAGCCTCACAACAACAGTTTATTTTCCAAATTCCGATGCGACACTGCCACATTATTCCAATTTTCTTGAAATTTTTTAGCAATGAAAAGGTTCTCAAAAAAAAATTAGGAACAGTATTCATAATTTATAGTTTTACTTTGCCCAGGAACAGTGATAAAATCGGAAATATTGTTCGATTATTATTTCATTATCTTATTATTATTTAAAATATGCGGAAATCATCGCAACTTTTTTCTGAAATAACATGAATGTAATTAAGAACTAATTAATTTTTAGTTATTTTTGTTTCTTTTTATTGGATGGTCATGTAATTGGTGATTCTCTACTGGATTATATTAATATCAATAAAACAATAATGTATCAAAATTTTATTGTTAAATTTTAAGTTTTGTGCTAGGCTTAGAATAACATACAATATGGTTATACTTAATTGTACATCAACAATTTTCTTCTTATGCAAGAGCAACCCTATGGATACAGTCTTCTCAGACTGCACAAGAACATTTAACCACGTTCTATGGCCGATCTTTTTGTGGACGTAAAGTGGACTGTGGAGTTTTTAACAGCAAGAACTCAAAACAATATGTATGATTAACTTTCTCCTCTTAATGATTTGTGTGCTCCAATGTTGCATAATTATCAGTCTTATTTCAGGTGATTACGTTTACAATGTTCCATCATTTAGGCATTTATGCATTTTTGCCTTCCGCCTTAACTACAAAATGATTGAATGTCTAACGAATTTCCAGATTATAAATGTTATCATCATAGTCTTGGTTTGTACATATCAGTGAACTACCAAGCGAGCATGCATAGTCCCTTTTTTTACTTAGACTTTTCTAGGGATTCTATAACTAATTGGTTTCAGTCTTATGCATATAAGTACATTCGTTTCTAGAAATGTTATGACAATCACAACACTTAATCTCGTAAGTTCGCGACACATCTTTGTTTCATTGAATTGATTAACACCAAGAGTCACAATGTTACCGTATCCACTAGTACACATATTTTGAACAATTTAACTTACTAAAGTTACAAGCTCCTAGTGATCGATACAAACGTGGTGACCTAATTTTCACTTATAAATAAACCTTTGAATGATTTCTCTGACCACAACAGAAAACATATTTTTGTACTAAATCAACATCAAGCACTTCGTAGATCATCTTTCAAGTTATCTATATAAATTAATAAGGGTATCATTTTTAACTCATGGAATATTCTACCTCTGCGCCTTCTATAAATAGTTTTAAAAATAGATTAGATCGATTGTGGACTGCAAACATTGTGTAATTCGAAAGTACGGTTATAATGGCCTGTTTAGTTACATCCATTCAGTTCGAGAGTGCTTTTAAACTCAATCTTTTTTTTTCACCTGCGCATTTTTGTTCTTTTTTCTCTTTGTAGTTTCTTGTTACAATTCTGGTGGCAACACAGACATTACGCATACACTCAATTTATACTTTAATAATAATGATATCAGTAAAAATTCGTTTTCTTTTATCTTAAAATCACAAAACAACTGGAGTAACGAAAATGCGTGATCAACGCGTGAACAACGAACCTAACGTTCCTAGCCCTACTAATACACGGGCCTTTAATAAGTATTAGGTGTGTATAACTGTGCCATTGGTGATTTTGGACTGTGTTATTCAGTTTAAGCACACGTTTTCCTTATTTTACTAAAATTATCCTTTTTCAAGTCAATTTTTTATTCTGGTTTTGTATTTAAATACGTTAGGCTATTTCGTGTTTCTCTTATTGATTTTACTAGTGTAAATTTGACATCGCCGCAATGGAGAATATTCTTTCTTTCCGCAGTAGTTACAGTGCTTAACTGATTTAGGTATCTTTATGTTATCTTTTAAATTGAAGAAAAAGTTTACCTCATTTCTGATCCTACCTGTCTTTGGATACATTGTAATATAGCAGCTGCACAATCAAAGTACTTAATTTTATTTGCCAAGAAACGAAACGACTGACCGTGATTCAAATTTAGTAACTGGATACTTTGGACAGACGCAAATTCTCCATAACGCATGTAGTTTCTCCCTAGCTCCATTTAGATCAGTTTAAACTTAAGGGCTGGAAATATAACTCTGAACCCCTAGCCCACAAAAAAATATATAAAACCTCCAATTTAACTGCAATTGCGTGATTTATGACATTATTTTATTTAATATCTGATAAGATTAAGTTGGCCAAGATCGTTGAACTAAAATCTAATCTACGTACTTCTTGTTATAGATTCTGTAATAGAAAACATTCCACTTTAAGGGTTTTGAAA